TCTTCCCTGTCGTGTTTACAAATTCTTTACGCGCGTCTAGCCAATTATCAGCCAAAGTCAGCACATCTATTCAACCGGGGAAATTAATGAGGTCCGAATAATTCTGTTAGTTACCCTCGTTGTCTGTTGATGAAGAAATAAATTTAGTGATTATTATAGAATTATGCTTGTTAGAATGCCAATTTTATATAAATCTAATTAATAAAAGCATGTAACTCTCAATAGCAAGTTTTCATGAAAGCTTGTTTAGTTTTCTACGTTGATTTAATTAAATAACTTGTGGGTACAAAATACCTTCAATGGTGACATTTTTGTTTGATTTTACAAGCCAAATGAAAGGTGTCATGAATGAAATGCCCGATTCATGACACTTGTTAATGGATAAAATAAAATAAACATGTGGATTACGTAGGACCAATAAAGATTGGAGCCATTTGTTTACAACTACTCTTTCAAAATATTTTGGAAAAACATGACGTTCTCTTATAAAAGAGAGTTATCTTCTATTTATTACCAAGTATTATTAGGAGATAGTGACAAGATATCTTATAGTCTTATACTTTATCAACAATCAACAATGTTGAAATTAAAATTTAATTTTAATACAATTCAATATAAACATTTCGTAGTTGTAAACAAAAGTTACTCCTTTTAGGAGTAACACCCCGTTGAGTTGAATCCGTGTGTTTTTTTAACGTGGTACAAGTTTTACTTGCATGGATTAGCATAATTTTGTCATTTTAGATATGGTTAGTATCCACAATGCATGTTGTATATGAGTTTAATAAGTCTTTGTTAGGATTAAATATAAGTTAAGTTGAGTGGGGTGCAGGGGCGGATTTGATGAGGGGCACAGGATTGCACCGTCAACACCTGCTTTTCCGACAGACAATAGAAATTTTTCGAAATTTTTTTTACTTTTTGTGCCACTACGTAAAAAGAATGGCAACTACTAATATATATATATATATATATTATATATATATATATATATATATATATATATATATATATATATATATAAACACATTGGATCAATTAAGCCCCAATAATTAGTAGCCCAAACACATTTTTATTTTAATCCACCTAATATTAGCCCAAAAGAAAAAGAATATGAGAAAATAGCCCAAATAAAACAATTATTCAATTGTCCAATTGGGTCCAAGAGTCCAAGTCTCAATTCTTGAATCACAAAAGAAAAAAAAACGAGAGCTCGTTTTTTTTTCCTTCTGTTCGTCCTCAGTCCTCACGAGTCACGACCTCACATCCGACAATTCTCACAATCGACGACTTCATTCTTCTAATCTTCTTCTTCGAGTTCAACCGATAATCCACAATTTCCAAGTGCAAAAATCGATTTCCAACTTCCAAGTGCAAAAACAACTCCGATCCAAGGTCCAAACCCTAATGAAGCAAGTAGGGGTGAGCAAAAACCGAACCGCAAACCGAAAAACTGCAAAAAAAACCACAAAACCGAGACCGAAAAACCGAAACCGAAATAAAAACCGACGGTGCGGTTTCTACCTTTGCAAAAACCGAAAGTTTTCGGTGCGGTTTCTAGTTTTGAAAAAACCGTAAAAAAACCGAACCGCACCGATATATATATATATATATATATATATATATATATATATATATGTGTGTGTGTGTGTGTGTGTGTGTGTGTGTGTGTGAAAGAATAAATTTTGTGAAATCATATGTGTGTAAACTAAGAGATCATAAAATGTTGTTGTATGTAAAAAGAATACAATAAATTAATTATATATAGTGGATTTAAAATAATATATATGTGTTGTGTGTGCAAAATAATAAAAGAAAATGTGTAAAAAAATGCAACAAACCAATTTATTTTTCGGTTAAAAAACCGAAACCGCACCGAAAGAACCGCAAAACAGCAAGAAAAACCGCAAAACCGCAAAGTTCGGTTTTTCATTATGAATAACCGCAACTTACGGTTTGCGGTTCGATTAGGTCCAAAAACCACACCGAACCGCACCATGCTCACCCCTAGAAGCAAGTAAGTATTTCTAATTTTCTATGGTTTTCGAATTTATAGTTGTAATTGCTAAGCAAAATTCAAATTTGCTATGGTTTATAGGTTAAAATTGCTATGAAGTTATTGGATATTTGGATGATTTGGTAAAATTGCTATGTTATTATAGAAATTATTGTTTGATTACTTGTAATTTCTATGATTTTTATTGAATTGATTGTTTGATATGTTAAAATTGCTATGTTTTAGGTTTACATATTATTGTTTGATTAGGTATTAGGTGAAAATTCTATGTTTTATTGAAGTTATTTTTTGATTAGGTTAAATTGTTATGTTTTTATAGGTTAAAGTAAGTAGTTTTTTTACCAAAAGACCAAGACCTAATCCTAATGAAAGTGGTGAAGGATGTTCCCAAACACCAATCACCAATCAATCAATCCCTTTCGTTTCTAATTCTAATGCAACCCCACAAACGCCAATCACCAATCAATCAACCCCTGCGGTTTCTAATGCAATTCCACAAACATCATGCTCAAATGAACCTAATGATAATGTTGATTTGATAGATCTTCCAAAGGACCCGGCGGATAGGCCAAAGATTACAAATTACAAATCAAGTGTAAGAGATGATGTAAGAAGAGCGTATTTGCTCCAAGGACCTTGTCAAATAAGGTTACATAAGTTTCCAAAAAAGAAAATAGGTGATAGATTTAGAAGATTCGTTCCTTCATGGTTGATGATTTTGATTGGTTGGAATATAGTGTGAAAAAGAATAGAACATATTGTTTATATTGTTATGTGTTTGGAGACCTCATGAATCAAAGAGGAGGGAGAGATGCATTTGTTTCCCAAGGTTTTGATACTTGGAATAAAAAAGATGCACTTCGGAATCATGTGGGTAGTGTTGATAGTTTGCACAGCAAAGCAAAAGAAAAGTGCGAATTTTTATTGAGAGAAAAACAAACTATTAATGTAGTCTTGAGGAGGCAAACCGAAGCGGAGGACCATAAATATAAAGTTCGATTACGTGTTTCTATTATTGTTGTTAGACTTTTATTGAAAACCGGTTTACCGTTTCGTGGTCATGATGAGTCGGTTAACTCGGGAAATAGAGGGCTTTACATTGGTGATGACTTTTTGAACGACACGTTACTTTGCAATGTGTGGAAAGATGTTTTTCGAAGATGAAGCTCTTGAAGACCGACTTGCGCGACAAAATTGGTGATGACTTTTTTAACGACGCGTTACTTTGCAATGTTGACACCGAAGCACTTGTGAAAGTTGAGAATGAAAAAGTAATGGAGCGGTTTCAAAAAATGTATGCACGAAGAGGACAAATTTAAATTGTAGTAGATAGTTATGTTTTTTTCAAATTTTTATGTAATGAATCATTTTTTTGTATTAGACGTAATGAATTATTTTTCAATTTTAAATTATGTTTGACTGGAATTTTTTTTTTTTTTGCAACCCCTACTATCAATTCATGTGTCCGCCCCTCGTGGTGTGATAATTAAATATGGAGCGGAGTTGAATGGGTTGCATTTAATGAGTTGTGGATGGTAAAAATAAAGTTGTATATGTATTTAATGGGTTGTGGGTGGAAAAAATAAAAATATATAGATATTAACGCGTCAGTCATGAAGTGTATATATATAGTTCAATGAATTGTAGACTAATAACCAAAAGAACCAAATTTATAGGATTTATATCTATAAAGTTCAATGAATTATTTACTAAATAGCCAAAAGAACCAAAACTTGTAGGATTTTAAAACAACAAGAACCGACTATATTTTTTTTTTCATGTTTTAGAAAGTCTCAATATTTTAGGTGGAATAGTCTAAAATAATTTTTTTTACAACAAAATAAAAAATCCCTAGAAACCGGATAAATGTTTCATTATAGCCATTTTTTCTAAGTTACCCTTACATCAGCAGATAACACCACCGTTCCCATAGCTTACTTCGTCGGACCACTATCGACCGTCGGTTTTTGACCTCCGATATGAACCAAATATGAGTTCCGGACCACCGTTGGTACAAGGGTGTAGGTTCTTTAGTGAATCTGAAGCTTCTGGCAAATGGTTGAACTTTTCGGTGGTTGTAGTGGCATACGACGACAGAGAACTCCAACGAGATGCTATTGGATCTTGCTCTACGGGGGTTTGTTGTGCACCCCTCTGTGGTCATGGCAGTGGTGACTGCTTTGGAAATAGGTGCTGGAGGTGGGTCAAAAGGGTGGCGACATGCGTCGAAGAGAGGTGGTTGTCGAAGGTAGCTTTGGTGACAGATCTGCCTGGATCTTCTCGGGGGTTTTGTCTCAGGGTTGAGGGGAGTCAAACGATGGTGGTCCCGTCACCTTCCATGTGTTCGATCCATCGATGGAAGTGGCGGAGGCGATTTCCGACGACTTTTGAGCGGCAACACACAACGGATATTGGTGGGGAATAAAGTGGTTCGGTGGTGGGATTTTGAACAAACTCTGTGGGGGTTCAACATACGGTGGTTTCGGCAAAAAAAACAAGATGGTGAGTAGTTGTTCACTTGTTCAGTGAACTCCGACATACCTTGGTGGTGCTCCAACAAGGCTTCCCGCAACAACGTCAGCAGTTAAATGTTGAAAATGTTAAAAATAATAAATAAATAAAAGTTAAACTGAAAATGTCAACCGATTTTCAGGATTTTTCATTAAAAAAATTAATTTGGACTAAAAAAACCAAAATTTAAAGACTTTATTATTGTTGATTTCCAAATATATATATATATAGATATATATATATATATATATATATATATATATATATATATATATATATATATATATATATATATATATTACCAAACCTACATAGTAGTGAATACCTCGATCATGGCTAAAAGTGTAATTTACCATAAATTTAATAATAAAATACAATAACAATAGTATTTCACTCTTTCATTCGCCTATATATATACCCATTCATCAAAGTATCAAACACACATTTTAATAATCTTTAATCAAGAAAAAAGATGCCATTCCTTGTCTTCAATCTCTTCATCTTCACCACCACACTCTTACTTCTCTCCGCCTCTTCTGATGTAATCTACGACTCTGCCGGCACCGAGCTTCTGAGGGGCAACCCCTACTACATTCTCCCCCTCCTCCGTCGCTCCGGCGGCGGACTCACTCTTTCTCGGAACACCAAAGACACATGTCCACTCAACGTCACTCAAGAGTCCTTCGAGGTCAACAATGGAGGTCCGTTCACCTTCAGCCCCATAGTCCACGACGAAGAAATCATCCCAGTTGCTTATCCCATTTCGATTTCAGCTTATGTCGTAAACCCTTGCCATGGATCGAACATATGGAAGGTGACGACGTCGACGGCGGCAGTAGCCAAGAACGACGAAGATGAACCACTGACGACTAATAAAGCTAAAAAGAAGAAAGATGATGATGATGATAAGAAGAAGAAGAAGAAGAAGAAGAAGAAAGATGATGATGATGATGATGATGAGAAGAAAGATGATGATGATAAGGGAGTTGTTCCTGTTCAAATAGTGACCACCGGTGGGGAGTTCAACACGCCGGAAAGTTGTTTTCAGATCGTGGAAGGTGATATTATGGAAGGATTGCAGAGCTACCAGATTCAGCATTGCCCGTTTAAATGTGGTTCACCAGGAACTGATAATACTTGCTATAACGTCGGCGTTATTAGAGATGCCGACGGTATTAATGGATACGTTGGTCGTACGGATGCTATATTCCCTGTTGTGTTTAAAAGTTATGATGGCACATTTAGCCAACCGACTAGTATTAGCCCGATATCGTCCTTTGTGAGCACATTTAGCAAATCGGAAAATGAGGTCGAATAATTCCTATTAGGTACTCTAGATCTTGTTCAAGAAATAAATATAGTATCATGCAGGCTACTATGTCGATGAAAATGATGTGTGGGTTCAAATTTCAATAATGGCATTTTTGTTTGTTCTACAAGTTAAGTGAAAGGTGGCATGCATGATTTATGAAAAGCCAATTCGTGACACTTGTAAATGCCTATAAAATTAATCAATGGATTATGTGCATGGGATGTTGGAACCATTCGTTTACAACTACTCTTTCAATATGTTTGTATTTAGTGGACATAGTATAGCACAACTTATAATAGATAAAGATATATATGATAGGTTTTTTACTTAATATATAAAACATGTCTTAATGGGTTAATGATCAGGCATGGAAGCTTATGCATTAAGACTCCTCTAATTTTAAAGAACAGACAAAATTGCAAAAATGGTCCCTATGGTATGCATCTTTTTGGAGTTTTAGTACAAACCCCGACTTTTTTGGATTCGTGGTCATTTTGAACTAATTTTGTTGTGTTTTTGGTCCTCCTGAATAGTGAAATGACTGTAATACCCTTGGGGTATTTAATTTTCATTTTTTTCTTTCATTTCTTCTTAAATATAATACTAATTATTTATTTTAATAATAAAAAAATAGAAGAAGGGGCCCACCTCTCTCTCTCTCTCTCTCTCTCTCCTCTCTCTCTCTCTCTCTCTCTCTCTCTCTCTCTCTCTCTCTCTCTCTCTCCTCCTGTGGAAAAAAAGTCAAATTCCTCCCCCCACTTCTTCTTCCCAAGATTTCTATGCTTTCTCTCACTACTACCGACGTTCCCCTTCTCCTACTGATCCATTCTCAGTTTGTTCTTAAACATAAACACACACCCGGTTTTACATAAAAACACACGCCATATGAACCAAAATGAAGATGAACACAAGAGATCTGAAAAACATGAACCCAAATGTTCAAGAACTCGGATTCGAGATGTTTGTTCTTCAAGGATTTTGCAGATTTCGACTTTGATCATATACAAAAAACACATACATACAACAAACGTTTACAGATATCGATCGAGCTTTATCCCCCAACAACCATTTACAGACATCGATCATCGAAGTTTCACTTGGGTTTGGTTTTTAGACGGTCGTGTTCAACTGTGGGTTTGAGTTTGTTTTTCAGACGGAGTGTATGAAGGGGGAAGAGTCTGAGTCGTGATCTTATTGGTCATCGGAAACTGGGTCTGTTTGTGTTGATGGGTTGATGTCATTACAGAGGGAGGTGTTAAGGCGTTTCTTGGTGGTGGTAGTGGTTCTGTTTGTGTTGGGGATGGATGCCACCACAGGAGATGTGGGGTAATCAAAATTAGGGTTTATCCTCATCGCCTCCCTCATCTTCATCATCTACAACTCTTATTTTCCTCTCCAACCTTTGACTTTTCTCCCGTGTGATTAGCTAGCTTAACCTCTCCAACCTCCGATTTCCTCTTCAATCCTTGACGCCTTCATCACCTTCGTTATCTTCAACTCTACCACTTCCTGCTTCATCATACTCTAAAAACCACATATGCTCACCAAGCTCTTCATCTAAGAACGATGATCAATATGGTAGTGACAAGATCTGGTATAACCTGTGTCGAAATTCTTGAAAGAGATAAGAGATGATTGGTGTTATTGAGGCTAGATCTGTCGATTTTTGTGTTTGTTTAGGTAAATGTTTGAAGATTATACCGGAAAACTCTTGAAGGTTTGAACAGTTTTAATGATTCTGGAATGGAATATGTATAGGAAAACATTTTGATGAAGATGATGTTGAGAGAGAAAGAGAGAGATGTGGGCCCAAATTAATTAACTATTTTATTTTTCCTTTAAATTAAAATGAAAAAATATAACAAGTATATCAGAAAGGGCATTTTAGTCTTTTAAGTTTTCCGAGGGACCAAAATCACAAGCAAACATGGTCAAAAGGACCACGAAGCCAAAAAAGTCGGGGTTTGGACTAAAACCCCAAAAAATTGTCTAAAGAATAATAGTTAGTTTTTATATACTTGTTTTGCTCGCCAACTTCAATTAGCGGTTGTGGAGTTTGCAAGAGACCACAATATTGTTGGAAACTTTTTTGAAAACCTTTCCTTTGTTATGAATGTGGTTTGTGCTTCTTGCCGACGCAAAGATGTGATTCAAGAATGTTATAAAAAGAGTGTAAGAAGCAATTGGTAACAGTGAGATTAAAACCAACAATGGTTAAACCAAGAGCTTTCATTAATATGAGTCGGAGATAAACATTGGGGTTCTCATTATAAAACTATCAAATTTGATCTCTTTATTCCCGGAGGTTTTTAAGTCTTTGAATATGTTGATAATGAAGGTAAATATGGATTTAGCCAGAACCAAGCACATGGTGTTATTTTGTATTTCAAAACATTTAATTTTATGCTTGATTTGCATTTGATGATATGCATTTTAGAGCTTACAAATATGTTGTCTCAAGCTCTTTAAAAAAATATTATTGAAGTCATTTCATTGGTAGAGATGATAAAAAAAATTAATTTCTTTTGAGATGATGGGTTTGAAGATCTTCTAGACGACATATATTTTTTTTTTGAAAAGTATGAAATTTAAAAAGTGGACATGGTGGGAACCTATGCAAGGAACCGAAAACAAAATACCAACTTCAACAATCAACATCATTATAAAGTTGATATCTTTACCATTGTTCTTGATATGCAACTTCACGAGTTTTGTGGTCATTTTAATGAGATAATACTCATTGTCAGACAAAGATAATATAGTAAAATTAGAGTAATATAAAACCTTTTGTCTTCATACATAGTGAATACAATAAGATTGTAGGGGAAATGACACAAAAGCCTTACAATGTTTTCAAAGTTACTCGATTCAATCTCTAAAATTATTTTCTTGTTTTATGGGGTATAAGGTAGGTTATGACATATTCTTTTAGTCCCTTCAACCTCTAATAATAGGTACACCATGTGACATGTACCCATTTAGATCCGACAAAATTCACTTAATGCCCCCATAAAACCAAAAAAAATAAGTTTGGGGATCATTTAAACTAAAACTCAAAATCACGCACTGAAAACACGCACTATCTCCAACAAGACTATCTCTGACATACGTTCCACCGACTTCAATGTCACCAACATTCGTCAAAATCTCCCTCATCTCATTGTTCTCGAGATCCGTGCTCTCGAGGATTGTCGCACATTGTTTCTGGATACTGTCTCCTATCTCAAATGCTCCATCTCTGACTTGTTGAAATCATCTTCCAATAAATACAATTACAAATAAGATGTTATTGAAAGTTCACAACCATCGGAGAAGCTTTGAATGCGGTGCCGAATTCAAGTGCGACGACTGTGTTTTTAATGTGTGTTTTTAAGTTTTGGTTTAAATGATCCCCAAAGTTATTTTTTTTAGCTTTATGAGGGCATAAGGAAAGTTTCGCCATGTCTAAATGGTCACATGTCGCATGATATACCTCTTATTAGAGGTTGAAGGGACTAAAAGATGAGGTCGTAACCTACCTTATATCCCCATAAAGCCAGAAAATAATTTTAGAGGCTGAATCGACCAACTTTAAAAATATTGTATGACATTTGTGTCATTTTCCCTAAAATTGTAATAAGACAAGACCCTCCATTAGAGAGAGATAATACAGTAAAAGTATACTCCCTCCGTCCCAAAATTATTGTCCACAAACAAAAAAAAACACACAGATTAAGGAAACATTAATTATCAATAACTTTATACAATAAAATGACAGTTTTGTCCTTACTTTGCATTTATTGTTCCATTAAATGCTTAGTTACTTAAGTAATAATGAGGGGGTATTTTGGTAAAAATGTTATTTATTTTTAGAAGTGGACTATTATTTTAGGACAAACCAAAAAGGAAAGATGGACTATAATTTTTGGGACAGGGGGAGTAATACAGTAAGACAATATCTCTGTTAGACACAAACAATACATAACTAAAGCGAGATAATATTCTATGTTAAATGACAAATATCATAAAGTTACAGTAAGATAATATCTTCTATATATTTATTGTTCAAAAGAACTCGTGATTTTACCATTAATAAGCTCAAAATATATTGACTTTTCTATAGATTATCAGCTATAATTCAATATTACCCGCTAAATTCTCAAATATGTAAACGATTGCAAGTTTTGTCATTTTCTATAAACAATTACAAGTTTTATTTGTCGTATTTCGTCCAAAAATATAAAGACATAGCGTTATCATTAATAAATAGAAAATATAATATTTTTTGTGTATACATGTGAGCGGCTAAAATCTCAAACACAAAAAAGATCACATGGTTTCTCCCTTTATGGTTAGAGAAATTGATGGTTTTATCAGATAGTACGTAAAATTTTGATGATTTTTCTGACAATAGCCCTAATATTCCAGTTTAACGTGAAACTATGCAATGTACAAAGTTCACTCTTCCCTTTTTGCTTGTGAGCAGTGGCAGCCTTAGGGTGTGCTAGTGGTGTGGTTGCGTGGGGTCTTCGATCTTAAGGGGCCTTCAAATTTAGGGGCATATATAGTAATGGTGTTGATATTTTCATAAAATACATTTTTATGTGTTATTATTAAAGAAAATTAGCAATTAGCTATATACATAATATGACATTTAGTTACAATCTTTAAGTAATTTTAATTGTGAAAAAAATCAACCAAAATCAAAAAAAAAAAAATCAAAATCTTATCATAAATTCTATAATTTATCAACAATTTAAGGAAAATATCTATATCAAAAAAAAATATGTATATGTATCTAATATAAGTTCAAGAAAACGTTATAGATTTTTATAACAATCACCAAAAATATCAAATCCTAACAAACCTAATAACGGTTCCAATAGATCGTCAGTTTGTTCCTTTTCTCCCAGGCTCTGATTAACTGCTTTCTCTCTCAGGCTAAATGCTCCTTTTCATTTGAAATTTATGAATTCATAATAAAGTTAATGAATAATGAAGTAGAAAAAGTCAAAAACAATGTTCTTGGTTTGTTCTTTTGTATAATATAATGTCTTGTGGGTTGTGTTTATCATGCTAGCATTATGCTTTATAGTTAAGTTATTAACATTGATTTTTCTTTAGATAAAAAAGACGTCTCTGACTATAAAATTTGATTCGGCTTGTTCTAAACCTAAAAGAAAACAAAAAGAAGAACAGTTTGTTCATAGTCAAGGATGATCTACCAATCGATTTGTCATCAAACAAATATCTGAATATCATCATAATGAAAAATCAGTTTGAAGAACATAAAGAAAAAGATATTGAATTGCACGTGCCAAAAAACATGGATGAAGTTCAGAAAGATGTGGAAAACCAAGGAATGAATGTGGAAGAACCTAGAGAAAGAAATTGAACTGCTAGAAGATACACCTTGTGTAGACAAAAGCATAAACACATGGAATGGTATGGGTGATTACACAGAAGATACTCTGGTAAACACTTCCTAGGAACTGAAACATTTAATCAGTTAAAACAGAAGTTGTAATGAATTTATGAGATTTTTATTAACTTTAAATTTTGAATTTAATAGTAGCAAATTTACTTAATAATATTTAACAATTTTTAACGGGCATCACTTTGATTTTCGTACGAAACATTCAAAATATGAGTATCGGGCCTACTTGTGGAGTAGAGCAAGAAAAGAAAGACTTGAACCTGAAAGGCGAAAGGACACCTGTGTGTAATGGATTCTCACGACCATATTAAATGAGTATTAACTTTGTCCCACAATTCCTTAAGATGACAAAACACAAGAAATGCTAAAAACCAAATGATGCTGTAAAATAAAAGTTAAAAAAAGAGTTATGATGATCGATCTATTCAGGATTACAGCATACATCGTATTACACAGCCTCTGGTCAAACAATTGAAACCAACACATCAATCTCATCTCATCTCATCTCATAGTAAACAATAATACATGCCATGCCACCTTTTCCTCTCCTCACAACATATAGATTCATTCATGGCAGATGATGAAAGGGCGGTGGAGGTGGTGGTAGTAGTGGACATGGTTACCTCCATGAAGAACCACCCAGACGAATAACCTCTTCAGCACCACTATCCCTAGCAGAAACCCTACCATTCCCCACATCAGCCTTGTCACTACTCAAATCACCATACATATCTTTAAGCTTTGCCAAATTACTAGATGCAGATGTCCTATCCTTCACTTCTTCCCTACCATTTGGACTCACCGGAGCCTTCCCCGCATGATGAATACTCACACTCACACTCTCACTTCTGCTCCTACTCCTACTCCTGCTTCTACTCCTCCGGGAACTCGATTCCCTGTGGTAATCCCTTCTGCTAGTCTCCCTGGACCTTCGATCATACTCATGCCTCCTGTCCCTTTCCCTCTCCCTATATCTATCCCTCTCCCTCTCCCTTTCCCTATCCCTATCCCTATCTCTCCCTCTTTCTCTTTCTCTTTCTCGGTCAGAATAATCTCGGTCAGGCAAATCGCGGCTTTGGGAACGATGCCGGGCAGGGGATCGGCGGGAAGAATCGTCGTACGAAGGGAGAGGTGGGAGGGTGCGGCGGACAGGGGAGGAATCGCGTGTGGACGCGCGATGTGGGGCCCGCTGACCGAAGGAAACCGAAAGTGCAGCTTTGACAGATGGCGGTCGGCGCGCCATGTCATCGGACCCACGCGTTGACTCGCCGGTGACCCCGCAATGTTTGGTGGGGAGTTTTAGTTTTTCGAGGTTTGCTGTGATGGACCGCATTACAGGGACAGGGATACGAGGGAACAGTGTATCAAAGTAATACTGCAAAAAGAAAAAATAAATGAATAAATAAGAATTATAGAGATCATGAATGAAACAAGGGTGAGATATCATAAGATGATGAGTTGGCACCTGACCTGTCCAAGAAGTAGGTCCCGGACGTATACCCCCATTGTTGTCATTCTACCGTTGGATCCAGGTGAGAACTCCTGACAAAAGTAAAATATAGAAATCAGACATCAAAATTAATAAATCAAATGTTTTGAAATTTTATATTATGTAAATGATAGGAAAAAAAAAAAAAAAAAAAAAAAAAAGCTTGTTGATATGAGGCACAAATAAAAGGCATCTATGATTGATTATGTTGACCTATGTAGGGTGAGAAAGATCTGGTTGCACCATAGCCTTCCTTTTACTGCCCCAACTCTTGAACCATTGATTGATTACACAAGAAAACAAATGGTTAAATCATCCAAATTTTCTTATTTAATAACTTAATACAAAAAAGAAAAAGAGCCCTATCATACGTATAAAAAAGAGAACACATAGTAAAATTCTTCTTGATTTTACTGAAACTAAGTTAGAAAAACAAGTTAAGTTGAGCCCCATTTTCTAACTATTATGCAAAAAAGGGTTGATCTTACAACATTTGAGCAGAAAAACAGGCAAGAGTATTTTGTAATGTGACATGGAAAATAGCACAGTTGATGGGGATGAAGATGACATAGATCATGATAATTCCACATATCTTTGGCATTAACTTAAGACTTTTAATCTTGTCTTTGTGATTGCTGCTTGACTTTAAGATGTTTAAGCATTTGAACCTCAATTTATATGCTCCTCAAACAAATTACTCCAGCCATGCTTTGTTTATAAAGACAGCCATAATGAAAATGAAAAAGCAAATAAACCCTTGTGTCCACCAAGAACCAACTGGCAGCTATCAGAAATGAATCTATGTAATCAATTTCTCTATGTAAGATTTACTTCAGTCAAAAACCTCGAAAATAACATTTCTATATTCATAATTCCTCCTTTTTATCTAATTTACTAGTATCCTAGACAACAGAACAACCCCATGTATAAACCTGAAAAGACTAAAGTATGCCCTGCATGATACAAAGCATAAAAGTTCCCACCTTTCAACTTCTTTTCCTATACAAAGTGCCCATAAAACAACAAATGCAGCAAATCGAATAAGAAAAATGTTCAATGGTTTTGTTTTTTATTGCTAATGTCCTACACTCCTATATAGAAATATTTACATTCAGACACATATGACATGTCAAAAGTGTAAACATGATATTTGATCTTAACAAGCTTATAAGTTATAAACAAGTGGCTTCACAAGTCACAACACAACCTGTGACAAAAAAAAAAAAAAAAAATCAATAAAGAAAGTACCTCATCATCCTTGACATATGGTTCAAACCAACCCCACAAAGTTTTTGGATCTGCAGCATATCTCAAGTACAGAAATCCAACCTGCATACCAAATGAGATATAAATTGTTCAGATAGCTTCAAAGAACATTTTCTAGCATATAAGTAACTATGAATTGTTAATTAAAGAACAAACAAAAAAAAAATCACAACTTACCGCTCTAATGTATGGAGAATCTGGGTGCTTCAACAGGCCATGCATTTGTTTCACAGTAAGCTTCATGGTGAAGAACTTGTACAGAAGGCAAAATGTGTACAGAGGAAAAAAATGCAGTTCGTAATCCCACACATGCCCTTCTCCACTCCATGATCCACTTGGTTGTATATCTCATCAATCACTTCATGATAGGTTTTGAAACGATAAAGCTCTTTAAAATAATCCGATGAAAGGATATTCATGCAAAGAACCCTCTCCAATAATTGATCAATTGGCTTAATAGGTATCTCCATAACTTAAACCACACAGAGACCCCTTGTAAGGATGTCTGAAATCAGCTGTTTCTTTCCTTTATACGGCACTTAGAACAAGACAGCTTTCATTCCTAGCAGTTAAAAGAAAAAGAAAACCAATTAGCAAAATGATAGAAGAATTAATTATAGCAATCATGGGTTCTTAATATCTTCTATAAATTGTTAAAAAATATAGCAAGGTTAGTATAGGATTTACTTCAACATCCACAATTTTAATTAATTTAAGGTTCTCTTCCACTTCAACATTAGAAGCATCTTCGCGAAACATATTATCCGTAAATAAAGTTCCACGATTGCAACTCGCAATAATCTATACGCTCAACATGCGATTATATTGGGAAGTTTACTCTAACTGATGACAGATTGCACATCATTTTAAAGAATAAGAGAAGTAGCTTTCGTGGAAAAAAAGACGCAGAACTAATTAAGACGATTTAAAAAAACGGATTGGAAACCCTAGGGAACCCAAATAGAGAGCAATAATACCTTTTCGTTGAGATGGTAATAGTGATTCGGTGATTACAATATGAGCTGTCTGAGAAACAGAATCGCAGAACGAGCGATTTGATTTTCAGGGTTCTTTTAGAGTTTTTGTGTTCGCGAGTCGGGACCTAACCCTAGACCCAAATCTTATGACGAGTATATAATTTTGCTGCACAAGTTCATTGACGTGAGAGATACGGCGTTTCATTGGTTTTTTCTTATAATACGGGTAAGACCCGGATCGACCCGAAAAGATTGAAATATTGCAGTTAAACCCCTGGATTATGGTGTTTCTTTCCTTAGGCCCTGCTATAATCTAAAATAGTACTTCTTCTCTACCAAAAAAAATACAATAATTTAGGTACGAATTTACCTTATTCATGAGCTTTGAGATATAAGTGGTGGTGTTGATTTTGGTCCATAAATTTTCATTTCAAAAAACCAAAAACTTGAATTTGAATGTCCCTAATCAAGTTGTATGACCTTAATCCTAAGGAGTATTATGTGATGGGTAAGTTATATAATCAATGGCATGCTTGATTCGGGAAATCAACATTGGGTAACTCAGTTTCAATAGTCACATGTTATTGCTGGATTCAAACTCATGTGTGTTTTCCTCTAAAATCCTAATATATTTGTGATTTTTATTTTTACATTAATAGAATTACGAGATAACATAATTGGTCTAATATGTAATTATTGTTTGTACTATTTAATTAATATTTGAAAATAAGTTTATGCTCATCATTTCGTAATTTGAGGTGGTGTGTACTAAATAAAAAAAGTTTGTGTACAACATTACATTGAATAACTGCTCTATAATATAAAAATTCATCTTGTTACAAATGATGATACGACTACAAAAATAAGTTGAAATAATAATAATAATAATAATAAAACAAGTAGAAAAAGATGATTACAAAAATAAATTAAAATAAAAAGACAAGTAGAAAAGATGAAAGCCTTTAAGCAAACATAAACTCTCAAAGGCTTTGATTGTGCCCTCTTTTCTATGCTAATATATCTTAAGTTACTTAGATTCTATTATTCTAAGATAGGCGTAATTAGTACACAATAGTCGAATAAAGGTCCTAGGAGCCATCACGTATTCACTTTCATCCTAGTTTACTTTTCCATTTTCAAGAAGTAGTAAATGTGATAGAAATGACATATTTTTGTGCTTACAAATGTTTGGGATGGAATTAAAACATTAGTCACAAGATTCTCAATGGTGATTGGTGAACATCTTTTTGATTCTTGGTGTTGGTTATTGAGGAAAATCAAAGCCATGCATCTCATAAATGATGATGGAATGGTTACTTGTGGGATCTTGATTGAATTGAGTTTTGGTGGTGGGTTTCGCCACTGTGGAAGATGGCCTACAAGAAGAAGGTTTTGAAGTAAAGGGCCTGATTTCATCATGGCGTGCAAGAACTTGCCTTTCTCTGGTAACCTTTTTGTTAGTACCACATTATCAATGACATATGTTAATGGTTGTGATGGTGGCAGTGGTAGTGACAGTAACGAAATTTGATCGGTTAATTGGGTTTTAGTAGAATTTTCATTAGAGACCAAAGAAGAAACAACTTGTACAATAGGGTCATCTTCTATGTAACTGGTGCGAGCAGCTCTTACAAAAGAAGAAAGATTGGCTTCGAGTTTTTGAATTTCTTGTTGAAGAACGAGATTTTTTGAAACTAGTATTTGGCTTTTGAATCGAAATTCATCTCTTTCCTTAATGGTTTTTGTCAATAGGCTTTTGAAATACAATGCTTCGTCTATTTTTCTAGCAATCTCTTCGTCTGCACAAGCAATTATTGTTTCCATCTCTAGTTTTGAGTAGAACAGAGAAAGCTTCAACCCTGTGGTCTCGTGTGCCTGATAACAATAAAAAAACACAATAAAGAAAGGTTATACATAAAGAAAA